CACATATCCAGAAAACTGGTAATTATCATCAGAGTATCTCTAAGTGTTCAAATATCTGAAGAACTCTAAAATAATCTATTGCACCTAAAATATAAGTGACCTACCACGAAAAGTCCACATAATGGAAAGATCCTTCTGAGGGATAAATTACTGACTTCAAAAGGAGATTGATTGATTTATATGGTCTCTAAAACTGACTCATGTGGTGGATAAACCCTTACAAAGACTTATGTTGAAAGGAATGTGCTTAATTTTATGTGAATATGTAATTGGCAATCATTCAGATTTTTCACACACACAAAAAATCAAATTAACTCAAACTTAGTCACTGCTCCCTCCCTCTGGCTGGGATCCCTTGCAACTTCTGCCTCCAAAGGGTTGGCTCTGCAATTTTATTTTTCCTCTCTGAGGGTCATGATGGGAATGTGTATTATGCAATTCATTTATTTACAGATCACACTCTTATCTCTCTCACAGGCAACAAGGAAATTATACTTCAAGGTTTACTTTTAATTAAATGCTGCAGGTGAATATTGGATTTTACAAAGTTGATGAACAAAGACCAATGTTTTCTGTTGTAGCTTCACCTTAATTTTAAAACAGATTGATTAAAATGCATTTTTTACTATTTAAAATTAATACAGAAATAGTCCAATCCAATAAACTTAAACAGTTGCAACTCCTTTGCATTCACAAAATATAATATGTATACCATGGGAGCTGGTTTTGTTTATGATTTCCTTTTTACTTCTCATCAGACATACAATTAATTACTGAGAAACTACAACCAATAGAAAAGGTCTTAGAAATCAGAAGTAGAGGAAGATTTCTCTGGGGCATTCTAACAATGACTGAGGGTTCTTTTTTGTTTTGTTTTTTTTCAAGAGTCAATTCAATTCAAGAAAAAAAAAAAGCTATTGAGAGACTAAGTTGAAGGAGGAAACTCTTTCTGAGAGTTTTCTTGGGTAGAGAAGGACTGATGATCACTTACATTACTTTCCCATCACTCTTATGGAAATCTTGCTACATTACTACCACCTTGTGTGCTTGGGCTGAAAAAAAACCCCAAACAGTTATTGTGAAAGGTGCTGTTCTCTGATAAATTCACAGAGAAATAGCTGCAGTAAAAAATAATAACAATGTTGTGGATTATCTGTAATGGCTTCCCTAATAAAGGGCTTTGAGATTTAGTGACAAAAAACTGCTAACTTGCCAAGATGATTGTTCCAGTCCACAAAACCAGTTCATAATGGCTTCTTTTCTAGGTGCCAATAAAGTAGGCTGTAATAGGGGTGGACACCACAACCATGTGCTATCCCTGTAGGAATGGAATTGCAAACTGATGATGCGCTAATATTCATTGTTCACAATAGTCTCAACTTTTAGAATTTTTGAACTACAGGGGAAACCTCCCTTTCCATCTCCTCTTCCTCCAGCAAAGAACTCCATAAATTGAAAGCTGTTTTGAATACCTTTGGTGCTTTTTCTCTTCAAGGTCATAGTCTCTTCTCCTTTCACTTACATACTCCACAAAACTACAATTAACTATTCTCGCTTTTTGTTCCAAAAACATGAGATCCATTAACCCCAAAATGGTAATTATTGGCCCACCTCATATGAATAAATGAGGACAAATTAGTTTTGGTAAGGTAAGAAGAAGCCAAAACCTCTCACAGATCTGAAACCAGATTTCTAAACTTTGTGTAGATGACCATGCATTGCATGTATTTGGCAGAAATACAAAGGTACCATGTCTCTTCATAGTAACTCTAACCTCACCTATATATTAATTATATTAATGTGGGCTCTTATTCCCATAACTCTCTATGATGCTTCTAATCTTTCTGAGCCAAATGTATATCGATATATATCATTTTTGCAATTTTAAAAATAAGGAAGCTAGCATAACAGTTGAATGGCAAGGGTACTTGAAGCCAACAGTCTAGCTACTTCCTTATCATAGAAGTGTATGCGAGCTCTGATTCAACCTTATATCAGAAGCAAAAGGTTTTAGGACTGCTTGTCTATGCCAAAAGGCATCACAGGACTACAAGTATTTATGACAAATCTCTACAGATGTGAAGTCTCCCTCAAAAGATCATGAGAGCTTAGAAAAAAGAGAAAGAGGAGAGGAGAGGAGAGGAGAGGAGAGGAGAGGAGAGGAGAAAAGAAAGAGAAGAGCAGAGAAGAGAAGAGAAGAGAAGAGAAGAGAAGAGAAGAGAAGATTTCATTTGGAAGGGACCTACAATGATCATCCAGTCTAACTTCCTGACCAATTCAGGGCTGACCAAAAGTTAAAACATGTTGTTAAGGGCATTGTCCAAATGCCTCTTAAACACTGACAGGCTTGGGGCATTGAACACCTCTCTAGGAAGTCTGTTCCAGTGTCTGACCTCTCTCTTGGCAAAGAAATACTTCCTAATGTCTAATTTAAACCTCACCTACCACATCATTGAACCATTCCTGTGCATCCTATCATTGGATACTATGGTGGTTTTACCAAGGAGAAGAACTCAGCACGCTCCTCTTCCCCTCATCAGGAAGCTGTAGAGAGCCATGAAGTCACCCCTCAGCCTCCTTTTCTCCAAACTAGACAAACACAGAATCCTTAGCCATTCCTCAGAGGACATTCCTTCCAGAATTAGATTTCTATGGTGTACATCCCAGGAAGAGGATGGGCCTTTCAGTCGTGGTGTCTGAACTAGCACCATGATATCCTCTGACCTCTGCCTGAACTAAGTGCCTGGAGCTGAGCTGTAGAGTAAGACAATATGTGTGTGGGTGGATGCTCACATGTGTGTAGATAGATATGTTTATGGAAAAGTTCTTAAGGCTTCCAGAAAAAACAACATGCTATTTCTAAATATTATATTTAAAACTATTTGGTAAATTTGCCCCTATAATTATCTGTTTTAACACCATACTAGTTCTCTTAATGACTCGTTGCCTTTAGGCTACATTGTTTGAAGTATCATTCCCTCTTTGTCTCCTACAACATTCTCCGTCAGACTGTACTCTCCACGGTGTGCAATGGTGTTGATCGAAAAATCATCAACAAATCATGAGAGCTTGGGAAGGGATTACAGCACAAGAGAAGATCTGACAGTTTATTAAAGTTTATTGGGATAATCCCTCAGAATCCACAGAAATAAGCAAAATTCTCCAGAAGTCAAAAGAACAGTGTTGATTTGAACCAATTGAGATTCTGGCTCTTTATTTGCAATGAGGGGATAAATTGACGACATGTGGCATTTAGGTTTGATGTACAGGTGCCTACAGGTAGAAAGTAATTTTTTAAGGGGCTGATAGGAAAGTTATCAAGAGATTAAGTTATACATGGATCAAACCTAATTTTCCACTGGCGGTTTCAAAAATTATCTATGTTAATGACTTTTGACATAACAGCTATGTTGGGAAAGGAAAAATAAATTGTTAATGTTCCAATCAGAATTCCAGAAAAAAGAAGTGTAATTAGGTTTTTGTCACAGTACAAGAAATGTTCAATCATCCTTAAGAAGACCAGCTTGGATGTATGCTTTTTATTAGGCAACAAGATGAGCAAAGCTACACCATTTTTCAACAGAAGTCTAAGTCCTCCAGTGGAATAGAAGTGCACACATTTCTTGTTTTGTAATGTTTCTTAGCACAGTTTTTCATTACGGGTTTATGCACTTATGTGGAAAATTCAAGCACAGTTCTTGATTCGTGTTAACATTTACAGCACTTAATGGAGGGGTAAAATAAATGATTAAATATTGCAATTAATTAGTAGACATGGCAAGAAGGATTTGAGATGTGGTTAGCTTCTTAACCATGTCTTTCTGCTCACCTCCTTCAGGCTTGACTGGTCCATCAGACATCACTTTCCTGAGGGCTAGTTGGTTTTGGTCTTTGTTGTCATTGGCTGGTGGAGGCAGATTGTCAGACTGAGTTCTTTGAATAGGGAGGACTCCTGATATGCTGTGTCTGTGCTGCTTCCTGGCATGATTAGACTGACCGCTTTTATGTGCTGCTGTGGCAGTGTGGGTGAAATGGAAACCCAGAGTATGTATCCTCAGATGGAACCAGCTTAAATGTTATTCATGCAAACAGAAGCGTTTTTTTCTGTGTTTAAATAAGTAGTGTTTTCAAACACCAAAGAGACACCACATGCACAGCATTAAAGAGTATTAAAACTGGCTGTTTCTTTATTAATGATGGTGAAGACAAGGGAAATAATTTTCCCCCAGTTTTTGCATTATACCATAGTAAGTTTACGGCATATCAACAAATCCTGAAGACAAACACAATGATTCCACAGTCAGAGAGTTTTAATTTGCCACCAACTAAGCCCTCAACTAGCAATCAGATACTGGTCTGAAGTATACTCTGGAGACCAATCCTTTTGAATGTAAAAGTTTTAATTTATTAATCTATTTAAAGTTGTCAGATGAAATCTATCTTGACCCTTAATCAATCCATGGCACAAAAATTAGCAGAAAAATTGAACTGACTATGACACCTGATTTAGCTCTCAACTCCCTTTGACTTTGCTAACTTGATAACAACGTTGTTGAAATCTGATGTTGTTAATTGCTTTGCATGTTTAATGATTTTGCACTTAACGAGTTTAATGTTTTTGTCTATTGCCATTCTTCTCATCACTGACATGATTGTATCTGAGATAATAAAAGGTTGCATTATATTTTCTTTCCAAAGAAAACTGGATATTTACAGTCATGTTTCAAAAATATAAATCTCTGCCATGTAGTTAAACTTTTTTCTTTAACTTTAAATCTCTTGTGCCAACTTGAAGAGCTGGCAGCCGCACCTCTGCAGGTTTTGACTATTTCATTGGTAGCTATTTAGTGACATCAAAACACCACCACACAACAGAATGCTCTGTGAGTCATGCACAACCATGGAACATCATGGACCATGAGTGAAAGGACTGGTGGAGAAACAGCCAGTTTCACTGCAGTCTATATAAATAAAAATAAATAAATAAATAAAAGACTTCTAAATACAAGAGTATATTGTAATTATATGTATTCACACACAGGCACACAAAGAAAGACATTGAGCAGAGAGAGCACAGTGTGCCAAGAACAGAAAAAAAATAGCCGAAAAGGGAAGGACAGCAGGGAAAAAGGCAACAGATGAACATTAAGCTGCCATGCTGAGGAATTTATTTGCGTCTTTTACTTGGTTGAAGGCGAAGCTGTTGGACAGCTGCTTCAGCAGCGGCGATGGCTGCCCCAGCGTCTTCAAGGTGAGTTTGAGTGACGCTGGTTTTGCTTTGGCTGCGGGATGGACCATGAGAGCGCAGATGTCCTTCAGAGGAAGATTTGGAGCTGCCTGGGCTGCTGTGGGATTTCTCAATGGTGGGCACCTGCATGTCTACCAAGAAAATGAAGAAGCATAACTTGCATTTATTAAAAACAACAAAAAAATTCATTTTCTTTCTCTTGGCTGGCCTTTCTAGCTGCATTCCAAAACAAGGAGTAAAGATTAAGTTGTGCAATGCCATTCAAAGTTTTGGGGTATATCGTGATTAGGAAACTCTTACCATTTTCTAAATCCCTGCTGCTCCCTGGCCCCAGGAATAATTAATTTACTGTTGGGTTTCTGCTACCTGTGGATTTTGCATTCTGTGGTGGTTCACACTGGTGGAATAACAGGGTAGCCTAAAGACTAATTAATTTTCCACTTTATGTTTCTCTAGTATGTAGCGACTGACTAGCATCACTTACACTGGTACTGAATACTTCGATAAGGCAAGCAGTTTTATTCTGACGAATGCCCCAGTCAAAACCATAGCCAATAGCTTCTATACTAACCTCTAATTTAGATACAGATCTTATGTAGACACCAATCCCTAGCAAAACATTACACAGAGAAATAGAGAGGAGATGAAGCAGAGCCTTATCTCCCTGAGGCTCTCATCTGGATACTATTTGGAATAGGTTTTTTCCTTTATATGACATATACTGTGTTTTAAGTAAGGAACTGGCATTGGACTACCTAGTATTAAAAAAAAAAAAAAAAAAAAAAAAAAAAAAAAAAAAAAATTTTTGGGGAGGGTAGTATTAAAAAAAAAAAAAAAAAAAAAAAAGTAGAGATAAATTTATTGGAGTAGGAGACACTGAAATCAATTTGCTTTTGTAAACACTAGTATAATTATACAATATCAGCTCCACCGATTTCCAATACAATTAAGATGATAGATCCCATTATAATTGACCTGAAATGCATATGCATTATTAGGGCATAATTGTTATTCTATGAAATATTAATGTGACATTTCCAGAAGATAAAATATGATAGAATATTTAAGGAACATGAAAAATGGAAAGCTAAATACGTATTGAATTTGTCCAAGGCTACCAGAAAAATGAAAAGGGCACAGAATCTACAGTACACGTGCAAAGCACATAGAGCTGGTAAGATGCTGTTTTTAGGACACAATTACTCAGTAAGCAGGTTGGCACTGATCGAGCCAAATTAAGCCTTGGCCCCAGTGAATTAACAACAGAGATAAATAAGTTTTTAATAAAAGTGTTTACAGACTTCATAGCAGTAACTTTATTTTTCTAATAGAACTTACACATAGCAAAAGTTTTCCCATCATCTGGGAAAACATTTCATATCAGGTGCACCAAGTCATTCCTACCCTTGGAGGGGTCCGGGAAGATTCCGTGACTTCTGCTCTTGATGACAGATGGTTTTGGAGTTTGTTGGCTACTCTGCCCAGAATGAGATTTCCCGTGATCAATGTTTTCACTCTGTTCTTTCAGAGGGTACCACCGAGGAGTATTGTCAAGCTGAGAGACACTGGATAACTCAATCAATACCTATAAATAAATCAAAGTACAATATATGGCCTGTATCTGATCTATTAATGATGGTGTACAGCAGAAGAGTCTACAGTTGTGTTACCAGAAGTTGCAATCAAATGTACGAAGTTAAGGGTAGAAGGCTGCATGCTGATATAAGCCAGCTGTGATTCCAAAGCCACATTTGTTAGCATGGATGTATCCGAACTAATATCTCTTCTCAACAGGACCTCAGCAAGGACTGTGAGCTTAGACATGGCTCCATATCGAGATGGGTAGATAGTTTAAAGGGTAGCTTGTGAGCACTAGTTTGAAAGCTACACTAAAAAGACATCTAGCTGTTCTGCCTTGGTATCAACATATTCTAATAGAAAAATCAGGCAGTGTTATTTGTCAGTGTTAGTAAAGGGGCAAATAATTCAACATTTGTTTTTAATAAGGTCTTCAGTAATATGAGACTGGTGCTTGTTGGTTCTTTACAAGATCCACATACACAGAATTTGTAACAAAAAGAAAAGAACAGGGATACCTTTGCACTTCACTAAAATAATAGAATTCTACAGGACATTTAGGCCTCGAAATTTTGCAGGGAAAATAAAAAAAAAAGGGTGGAGATGCAACGACAATGTGGAAATGAAACAAGCAACTTGGGTAAAAAAACCCCCTTTGTAGCTAAAATCTGCTGCAAGCCACCTACATTGCTAGCAGGGCTTCTGTGTAATTTAG